AAACAGCAGGTCCAAGCGAGGCACTCCCCTGGTAGGCTCACTTACCAGCTGTGTCAGGAAGTTGTCTTCCACACACTCCAGGAACCTCCTAGACTGCTTCCTCTCTGCCGTGTTGTATTTCCAGCAGATGTCATGATCCTGAGCTGAATTATCTCGCAGATCAGACATAAAGCTGTGTCTGAGCCCAGTTCCTGGCACTAGAGTAGAGCGAACAAATCCCCATCCTACCAGAATATTAATATACGTTGGTCTTGCCAGCAGTACACTTGATCATAAACAGAACTGAACTACAGGGAGAAACAGCTAAACCTTGACTTTGTCATGCTTACAAAATTATATGTTGATTTGGGCACGCAACAGAAGCAGCTAACTTCAGTTAGAAAACAGTTGTCATGTTTTTGCAGTAGAGGGAAACTTTATTATTTTGTTTGTTGATTTTCATGTAACAAAAGGTGAAAACTGTATTTGCTTCACAAATGAGGATTCGCCGAAAGCAGGTTTTTTACAACAACGAAGCTTCTTCTCCAGTAGGTGATAGTGCTTTCCCCTCAAGTCAGTCTTCTGTTTCACCAGTGAATGTGCTATCGTTACAATAACCTGCGTTTGTATTTGCCTTTTGAATCATTTATTATTAGAGAGCTGTGAAAGCTACAGTAGCTACCACAAAAGAGTAATGGAAGGTGGTGAGAATTTTAAGTGACCTTTCGGGCAGTCGAGTATTTCTGCTGCCCCCACCAGCGGGCAGGGAGGGCTTGGTCCCACCCTGCCCTGCAGTTACACCCCTCCCCTGCCCTAATGGTGCGTTACTGCAAACACGTCTTCATCGCCTCGGGCTGCCCCGCCAGGGACGCTACTAGTAAAAGCGCTCTCTCTTCTTTTTTAATTTTATTTAATTGTCCCGTGTTCCGGGTCTGTAGATGGCGTGACAAACGGCAAAAGTCAGGCCTGTGGTGAGCGCCGGCTTGGCATGCCGGCCGGACACAGGCAGGAGCCAGCTCTGCCTGCCGCAGCAGCCCGGCAGCTGCCCCCGTGGCCTCCCCAACACGCGGGCTCCGTCCACACCCCGCGCGCTCCGGCTGGGGACGGCCTGCAGCAACGTGTCTGCCACCAGAATCCTGTAGCAGGGGTTACAGCCGCTAACCTTTCCCTTTCACACCACTTTTAAACTTTGCTCTCGGAAGAGGGAACAGCCCTGCTGCAAGGGCAGCCGGCTGCTTTGCCATCCACCTGCGAGACAGCTGAATGAGGCCATCCTTGCTTCCCTACCCCTACCAGGATTAATTTTTTTTTAAACCCTAAGAGTTTTAGTGAGAAGTACGTATGATATATAACATGGCACTAGTTATAGGAACTAACAAAAAACCGCATTCCACTTTTGCCTCTTCTCCGTGGTTCTGTACCTCGTAAAAAGGCTTTCCGACTCCAGTGTTGAACTTTTTCCTATCCACGTTAAAAAAAGTTAGAAAGTGCGTATGTACACAAGTGGATTTTTTAAGATAAAAGCCTGTCGATACTACAATAAAGATGACATAGCGTCTGCCGTTTCCAGCAATGTGGGCCGGAGATGGTTTCACACCGGGGCCTGAAGTGGCTGAACCCTGCTGCTAATTGATTAATGTCTGCTGCCATTGTCGGCAGCACCCTGCCCATTCAAAGACTGTGTCTTTCCTTTGACCTAAATAAATGGTTCAACGCGCTAATCCCAACAAAAGGGTTGCTTATGGCCCTAAACCCATTTATGGTGCTCAACTTCATGAATTACCTATTGATTAGTCCTTTTAGTATATTGTTGGCTTTAAGATGAACAAAGCTGAGCTGGGGGCAGCGGGAGTTAATTCACAAGCCAGGTCACATACTCATAAGGTAGGAGTATGACTTGGTCTGATGGGTGCCTGGACTGGAAACCGAACCTCCAACGCTGTCTGTCGTCGTAACTCTTTTGTAAGACATGGCTTGAAAGTGTTATTTGCTGCCTGCAAACAAGAGTTATTTATTATTCTTCTCCTGTTAGGACATAGGGTTTGAGTTACTTGCAGAAGGTTTGGTATCCCTGTTTGTCTCTAGAATGGCACTTTGCTCTAAGAGTGACTTCAGTGGCGCGTGTAATTGTAAGTGTCATTTGCACACAGACGTGAGAGGCTCGTGCACGTTACTAGAGTTTGTGGATTAGAGAGCCAGTACATTTGCCAGGAAAAAGGGAAACACGGGTCATGCACGCTGCAGTGTTCTCTGGCTGCGGACCTGATGCAGCCTCCGGCTTCCCTCTCCCCAGCGTGTCGGAGGTCGGGCTGAGCCGCATTTCGTACCAGCCTGTGTGGTTCTGCTGCCAGGGTACGCGTCTCAGGAATACGGCATCCCAGGGCAGCTGAGAAACAGGGGGGGAAGCACCCCCTGTTTTGAGGTGCAGCTACAGCTCACCTGTATGAGTTTGCTTCTTTCTGATTCTTCTTTCAAAAAATGTAATTTTTAGGATTGTTTGAGCAAATGTTGGTGACATTTTATATGGATTCATAAAAAGTTTTGTATTTCTCCTCCTAAGGTTTTCTAACATAACTTTGAAATGTGCAGTGTTAGAAAGTAAGCAGAAGTAATAAAAAACCTGCCCAAACAGAGTCATTGAAGCCCGGCTATTGAAAGATACTTAGCTGCCTTCAAGTATTTTGTATCCTAGTCAATCAGGAATGGTCCGTTTTTCTTCTGCATTTCCCCGCCGCCCCCAACAGTGGAAGAAATGGAAAGTATTTGTTCACTGAAAATCTTACAGTTTCTGGATAACCTCTCGAGAGCTCTACAACGGCTCCCTTTTTAAGGGGCGGAAATTTTTGGATGGTTACCTACCAAAGTTAAGCTCATGTAGCTTTGACACTCTTAGTGAATAACAACAGTAGTTTTAAAATACTAAATTATGCTTATTTATGGAAATAAGAGTAGACAAAATCTAATCATATAGTAATAGTTTTTAGAATGTTTACACCTAAAATACTTGCTAAATGTTTTGTTTGTTTGGTTGTTTTTTTTAATTATAGCGTATACAAACTGGTATCTTAAAAGCATTTAATAATCCAACTACTAAGACGGCAGATGAAGAAACTAGAAGAAAAGTCAAAGGTATGCAACTCTTTATTGAAAACTTTTTAAAATGCACAAGTTTTTAAATACCGTTTTCTTCAAAAACAGCAATCCCGAAGTACTGTAGTTACAAGACTTTTATTATGTATTATTCTAGTGCCACCTAGTGCGTATCTAAAGGATAGAGAGCTTAGTATGTGCTGACTTGCATCTTTGCATCCAGGATAAAGTCTTCCCCTGCATTAACAATGCCTCTTGTAATGATAGGTAGAATTTAATTTTGTTTTCTAAGATAGTTTGCTGCATCTTCAGGTTTGTTATACAGCCACAATTATTGTATCACTCAGAGAGGCCACTTCCCATAAACAAAAGTGATTTCTGTCAGCTGACTGATCCTGCGAGCACTCTAAATATGATTACAAAGCCAAGATAGGAAGCCGTTTCAAAAGAAGGCATGTTTTTTCAAAACAAGAGTTTTTAAATTCATTTTTGTGTTTGTGTGTTTATGCAAAAGTTCTAATTTGGGGGATTTTGTTTTAATTAAAGTCTCAATAAGGATTAAGCTGTTCTGAAAGTCGCCCTTCCCAAATCTGCAACAGTCAAGGCACAGAGACGTATTAGAACAGGCTTTTGTCTAATTTTTTAGAGTTTCATAGTTTCAAAAACCATTTAGATAGGGTAACAACCTGTCTGCTACCCTACTGTCCATATCAAGGCAATCCAATATTAGGTATTCAAAAGAAATCTGAGATTTTATTTAAAAGGCTTCTTCTTGAGAGATACAGTGTTATTATTCTGTTACAGTAGGCGGGGAAGGGAAGGATAAAAGGGAATTGTATCACTAAAGTATTTTTAAATGTTGAGATAATATGGTGTATGATGTATTAGTTATTGTATTGTGTCCAAAACATTTTGAATATGTTTAAAATTGTGCTTTCACAATAAATCTTAGAAAGAG